CGGGTTTAGGTATATAGTTCTTTTCTTGTTATTTGATTTTACTACAGGTATGTAACCAATTTACGATTACCTGTAGTCCTTTAAAGATAAATGTTAGAGTTATAATGATAACATATATTATCCATAATGTAATTACCTAGGTGTAGTTCCAGGAAGAGAGCTATGCTCGTGGTGTCCCGTCTTCCCCAATATAACAGTTTGAAACAATTGACGGTTTTAGCCTTCACCACCTTCTCGCCTAACTTGTTCCAACCATCTACCACTCTGTTTGCGAAAATGATTATTTTTATATTTGTTCGACAAGTTTGTTTAGCTAGTTTAAATCTATTACCTCTTGTTCTTGAAGTTCCAGGTATCAGGAATTCTTTCCTATCAATTTTATTAATTCTTATTACTATTTTGTAAGTAGTGATCATATCGCCTCTTTTTCTTCTATCTTCTAGTTTGGCAAATTTAATGACTCTAACCTCTCCTCGTAGGTCTTGTTCTTTAGTTCTGGGAGCCATTGCATGCCTTTGCACTTTTTTCCACTTTGCTGATATGATTTTTAAGACATGGGCACCATACAACCCCTGCATATTCTAACTTTGACTTAACAAAGGTCTTGAACAATTTCTTTAGTATTTCACCATCTATGTACTTAAAAACAATTCTGAAATTGGAAAGTGTAGCATACGCACCTCGCACGATGTTTCTTATGAGGTCCTCAGGTGATAGTTTTCTATCAGGAACCCCCCCCCCCCTAGATCTCTTTCTTTATCAGAATTTGTTTTAAATGTTGTACATAATTTGTAGGTTGTGTAGGATCTATGTTCTCCTATTCCATATTCCATAACATAGCATTTAATCACATTAAATTCCATTTGGAAGTGGTGCTCCATACACTTATTTTTTCCAGTTCTTCTTGAAGGGCACGACAGTCATCTAAGTTTCTTTTTTTCCCTATTATCTTAGCATCATCAGCAAACTTGTTTATATAGTTCTGTATTCCATCTGGTAGATCGTTTATGTAGACAATGGACATTACAAATGCAAAGAACTGAACCTTGTGGTACTCCATTCGTGATATTTCTCAAGTCCGATTCATTGCCTCTGATTACTGCCCTCATTTTTGAGTCAGCTAAAAAATTGTTCATCCATGTTAGAAGACTCCCTGTCCATCCTCCAATATGTTCCAGTTTCCAGAACAACCTCTTATGTGGAAAGCTGTCGAAAGCCTTTTTTAGGTCCAGATAGATGCCGGCAACCCAACCAAATGTGAATAATTTTTCGCTTTTATATATATTGGCTCTAGCATTTTCTATTGGGTATGTCTCTTAGAGTTGCTTGATCTTTGCAAGTTTGTCTATTACAGCTTTTAGTCTTGTTAGTTCAATAGATTAGAGTGATTTGGATTATATTATGATTATATTCTTGGATTACGATTGCATTTTTGTTATTAATAACGTATTTTTGGGTGAAGATTAATTATGGGCTGTTTAGACAAGTGATGGCATAGGTCAATCAACTGATTTAAGTGGCCTTCTAGGTCCACAGGCGTCTTCTTGTTTGTTTCTGCAGTTTGAAATAGACCTGTAGTCATTTTGCCTTTGGCTGTGATTACTTACGTGAATCAAAAGTGTAAATATATGTGTATTTTGATGATTGATTTATCCTATCACTGGGAGTTGATTTCGGAGATTGTTCTTCAATTGCTGGCCCTGATTCTGGAGTAACAGGATTTCCCAACCATCAAAAGTGTGGCACTCTGTTTATAATGTTATCCAAATGTTCACTGCATCAGAAAAACATTATAAAATTCGTTAAAATATAATTTGGCCTCTTTTGGCACTATTTTTTATTGATATCTCACCCAAGTAAGGATTAAGATTCTAGTAGTAGACTATTGTATTTTAACTTATGTAAGGTAGGCCATGCAAGATAAAGAAGACACAATTGTAATGAAACACCTCTTTTTAAATTATTGCAATAAAAAACTTAATTTTTTATCAGTAATGAAGTGCTTTTAAATGCTGCAAAAACCTGATATCAATAGATTGCACAATAGTAAAATGCTTGCTTAGTTTCCATATTAATCTAAGTAGATTTTCTAACTTAGTTCTTATTCTAGTGTGGGTTTACTAGTATATAAATCACGCAAGCTCATTTTTGTGTGTTTGACAAAAAGAGAAGATTAAGACTAAAATAGTGTGTTTGTTACACGAAAATCACTCTAGTTATATATGAATTTTCCATTATTTCTTTGTAACAGTGTTAACTAATTTACTTATTATATGCCTCTGTGATTCTACAATTAAATGTACTCCATTAGTTGACAGATTGTCTCTATAGGATTTGGCATTAAATTTTACGTAATGAGCATTCAATTTCATTTTCTTACGTAATATGTATTTACCTAGTTCTACTCGCCTAGTTGTGCTTATGGTACTTGAGCTCTTTGGTTCTGCTTCTCAAAGGTCAATCAACTGGTGAACATTTTCCTGAGCCTATTGTGATCTATCATATCTCTATATGAAACTGTGTATGGAGTCTGCCTCCATAACATCACTACCTAATGCATCCCATTTGTTAACTATTCTGACACAGAAAATTATATCTAATGTCTCTGTGGCTCATTGAGAAACCTAAGTCCTCTTGTTCGTGTTCCACCCATGCTAAAGAGTTTATCCTTGTCAACAAGGTAAATTCCTCTGATAATTTTGTAGGTGGTGATCATGTCTCCTCTAACTCTTCTGTCTTCCAGGGACGTGAGGTTTAGTTCCCGTAGCTTTCCTCGTAACTCACACTTCTCAGTTCTGGGACTAGTCTGGTGCCATACCTCTGAATCTTCTCTAACTTTATCTTGTGCTTTACTAGGTATGGACTCCAGGCTGGAGCAGCATTCACAAGATTAATCTGACATAAGTGGTATGCAAGGTTCTGAATGAGTTCTTACACAAGTTTCTAAAGGTAGTTCTTATGTTGGCCAATCTAGTATATTCCACTGATGATATCCTTTTAATGATGGTTTCCGAGGATAGGTTTGGTGTGATATCAACTCCTAGATATTTTTCTCTACCTGACACTTGCAGGATTTCACCTCCTAGATGGTATCTTGTGTTCGGCCTCCTGCTTCCTTCACCTAATTTCATTACTTTACACTTACCTGAGTTAAACTTTAATAGCCATTTTCTAGACCATTCCTCCAGTTTGTCCATGTAGTCCTGTAGTCTATGTCTATCTCCATCTGTCTTGATTCTTCTCATAATTTTTGCATCATCAGCCAACATTGAGAGGAATGACTCTTTATCCTCTGAATGATCGTTTACATATATTAGAAACAGGATGGTTCCAAGTACAGTGCCCTGTGGGACTCTGCTGGAGACATCTCGCCACTCTGAGGTCTCTGCCATTACAATTACTTGTGGTTTCCTGTTGCTTAGATACTCCTTTATCCACTGGAGCACCTTACATTTCATTTGTGCCTGTTTCTCCAAATTTTGTAACATCCTCTTATAGGGTACTGTGTCAAAGACTTTCTGACACTCTGAGAAATTGCAGTCTGACTACCCTTTTGTTTCTTGCCTAATTTTTGTGGCCTGGTCATAGAATTATATTAAACCTGTGAGGCACGATTTACCATCCCTGAACCTATGCTGGCGGTGTGTTACAAAGCTCCTTCTCTCCAGGTGTTCTACAAGCTTTTTCCTCGTGATCTTTTCAATCACCTTACATGGTAAACAAGTTAGTGACACCGGCCTGTATTTCCGTGCCTCTTGCCTGTCACCCTTTTTGTATATTGGGACTATATTACCTGTCTTCCAGCTTTCCAATAGGTCTCCTGTTTCCAGTGACCTATTATTGTAGACACAGTTATACACTATAGAGAGTGGCATACTTAGTGCTTTTGCACCCTATTTTAGTATGCATGGTCAGTTTTTGTTAGGCCCAACAGCCTTTGTCACATCAAAGTTTCCAACAGATTCCTTTTAACCTTATGAATGGTCCGCTCAAATTCCGCTTGGTTTACCGCATCTTCTCTCAATACAAGGACATTTCCTTGCTCTATTGTGATAATTCCTGCAATCTCTTGATTAGTTCTTCGCACACCTCTTTGTTATTCTCTGTGGATCGGTACTCCCCTTTCCTCAGTTTAATCACTTGTTCCTTCACTGCTGTTTTCCCCTTGGTGTGGCCATGGAACAGTTTTGGTTGGGTCTTGGCTTTACTTAAGAAGTCCTGGGATTCGAGGTAACAACAATGGCTGGGAGAAATGTAGTCATGAAGATCAGGTGAACCTCACCCGTGGTGTACCACACTATACCATCATCAGGATATACATACACTAGCAAAATGTCCACAGAAGTAATTTCACCACTTCACATGAGGGTTTAGTGTGGTCCTCGCGATTATTATTATATCCAATGATAAATATACTTGTGATAGGTTATAGGATATAGTGTCCTTGTGATAGGACACATTATGAAAAGAATAATTAGATTAGATTTAATTAGATTGTAGTAGATTCCAAGAATTAGGGAATAGGCTATCCCCATTCAATCATTTCACGTCCATAATTTGATATTTTGTTGATAGATCTTAATTTTCTGATAGAGGGATTAAATAATTCCAAAACCATGACTTTTCTGTCTGCATTCCTTGATAATGGGTTAGAACACGAAATTGTTTGGGATTTTCGTTTCATATTTTCCTACATTGATACTTATGCATAATGATAAAAATCCATGTAGGATTACTGGAAAATATTTTATTATTATGCCATAGACGAACTTGATATTTATCTGATAATATAAAACATTCACAGATAGTTCATTTTGTCTTATATAACCTCGAAAACTATCTAAATGTTTTGTCATTTGTTATTGATTCTAATAATGAACATTGTATCATGGATAATCTGTCAATCTGGTCCGTGTTATTCAGATGAACTTGATATTAGGTTTATCTCCCTTGTCATATTTGCTTTCTACTTGTATTAGACAACTGATATATGATTTTCCAGGTAAATTTCCTGTACGCCCCTGAACTGTTCCCAACGGTGATGCGGTCCCGTGGGTTCGGGCTGGTGGCGGCTGCTGGCAACACTGGAAGCCTGATGGCCCCCATCATCACCGACATTCTGGTCAGTACATAGTTGACTGTATTATGATCTCATTACCAATCACCTGGGCTGTATGGGGTCTCGAACCGTGGACCTCACACATGTGAGGCCGACGCTCTACCGCATGGAATGTTTATTTATACGGATTTTTTTTTTTTTTTTTTAGATTCAGCTACTCAGAACAAAAAGTTCCAGGTAGCACGGGCTATGGTGAGCCCGTAAGTGGAGACTTTTTGGAGCCATTATCTGTATCAATAGCTGATTCTAGAGATTTGGCGATGGGTGGGGGTCTTCATTGTGGTTTTCAGCCTCGCTGGGCTGGCTCTACCAGTTATGGAGCTGGTGGGGTTAGTGTAGATCTCTAGGTCTTCCGTTTGTTCTTTGCCTGAGACTTTGGCTGAGCCGTGCTGTCGCTGGAGTTTGGTGAGGTGGCCTCCATGAGGAGGTCTTGTACCAAGTAGGTGTCGTATTTATGTTGCAGCGGTGGAGCTCCTACTAATATCTCCTCGTCTGAGGAGTCCATAACCTCCGTAGTTGGTGTTTTCGTGTTTTGCCTCGCAGCCAGAGGTAGGCTCAGGTGTCGTGGATTGGTGGTAGAAGCTATTTCAGAAGCGTTGGTGGTGCTGTTAGCATTTGTTGACAGCACGTCTGCTAGCGCGGCTGCTGAGATGGTGATGGTAGGAGTTTTTTTTTTTTTTTTTTTTTTTTTTTTTTATTATTTTCTACCACAGACGTGGCCACACATTTACAATGCAACCAGCATATATACATTTTCTTCTGTCCTCCATGGACAGGGTTAGAGAAGTGTTAAACATACAGTTCAAGGGTTTATTGAACACTCAACCACAGAAGGTGATTCGGTGCTTTTAAAATGCTAAGCTAACCTACATACGTAAATACAAAGATACACAGATTTACGTACGCCCTACATAAAGTATTAGATGTGTCTTTTACATAGTGTCATTAATGTACATTCACAAAGGTGAAATGTAATTCTGATCAGCTTCCATATTTGCTTTATACCCATACATATACATACACACACACACATACATGCATTCACGGGGTTTCAAAGCACCAAACGAGTGTTTGGTGCTTTGATATCTAGATGCTCTAGATATTTCATCCCATGGATGCTTTGCTTCCATTCTGTCTAAATTTGGTGGCATATATATAACTCCTATTATAATATTATTTGCTTTTTCGTTTAATTCTATCCAAATAGTTTCTGTGTGTGGCTCAGTTTTGATTCTCTCTTTGAGACTACATTTCAAACTGTCCCTAACATATATGGCTACTCCCCCTCCTCGTCTAATATATCGATCTGTGTCAAATAGTTTAAATCCATTTATTTGATATTCAGCTAATAGTTCTCTATTTTCTACATTCATCCACGTTTCGGTAAGTGCAATAATATTTATTTTTTTCTGTGCAGACAAGAGCATTTAATTCGTTAATTTTATTTACATAAGAACATAAGAACAAAGGAAACTGCAGAAGGCCTATTGGCCCATACGAGGCAGCTCCTATTTATAACCACCCAATCCCACTCATATACATGTCCGACCCATGCTTGAAACAATCGAGGGACCCCACCTCCACAATGTTACGCGGCAATTGGTTCCACAAGTCAACAACCCTGTTACTGAACCAGTATTTACCCAAGTCTTTCCTAAATCTAAACTTGTCCAATTTATACTCATTGTTTCGTATTCTGTCTTGTGTTGATACTTTTAATACCCTATTAATATCCCCTTTGTTATGTCCATTCACCCACTTGTAAACCTCTATCATGTCACCCCCAACTCCCCGCCCCTCCATTGAATGCAGCTCAAGCTCTGTTAATCCCTCCTCATACGAAAGACCTCCAATTTGGGGAACTAACTTAGTCATCCCACGCTGGACACGCCCAAGCAAACCTATATCCATTCTATAATATGGCGACCAAAACTGAACTGCATAATCTAAATGGGGCCTAACTAGAGCAAGATACAGCTCGAGAACCACACCAGGCGTCCCGCCACCAACGCTGCGATTAACAAATCCGAGTGTCCGATTCGCCCCATCACGAACATTCATGCATTGATCCCCCTGTTCCAAATTCCCACCAATCACAACTCCCAGATCCCCCTCGCAATCTGACCCCACAACATCAACACCATCCAGCTCGCACCCTGCAACTCCATCATCACCACCCAACCTCAGAACCCCACACCCATCAGCACCAAACTGCACCCGCCAATCCCCCGACCATCCCAAAACCCCATCCAGATCACCCCGAAGTGACAGTGAGTCCTCCGCCGAACCAACTTCCCCACCGATCCTCGCATCACCGGCAAATTTGCCGGTGATGCGAGGAAACCCTATCTTTCAAAAACATTTTGAAAAACATTTCAAAACTCTATCTAGATCAACTTGAAGTGATAGCGAGTCTTCTTTCGTGTTGATTTCCCTACCGATTTTTGTATCATCTGCAAATTTGCAGATGTTGCTACTCAAACCTGAATCTAAATCATTTATATATATTATAAACAACAGAGGTCCCAGGACAGAGCCCTGAGGTACTCCACTAACAACATTATCCCACTCTGACTTAACCCAATTTATACAAACTCTCTGTTTCCTTTGGAATAGCCATGCCCTAATCCAAGTTAATATAGCACCCCCAATACCATGAGCTTCTGTTTTTTTTTAATTAGTTTTTCATGTGGCACTGTATCAAAAGCTTTGCTAAAGTCAAGGTACACAACATCACAATCCTTACCACTATCAACTGCCTCAACTATGCTGGAATAAAAAGTTAGCAAATTTGTTAAACATGAACGGCCATTTGTAAAACCATGTTGCGACTCATTTATTTATTTATCAACAACCTACTAACCCGTTTCATCCCTAACTCTTCGCCTTTCCAGTGAATGCAATTTAAGCTTTGTTAATCTTTCTTCATATGAAAGATTTCTAATTTGGGGAATTAACTTAGCCATCCTACCCTGGACATGTTCAAGTGAATTTATATCCATTCTATAGACGGGAGAGACATCTCCCGCCAACACATCACAAGGCGCAGTGTGGTCACAATGCGACCCAAACGTCTTAAGGTCAGAGCTACTCCACTTGACGGTCATGCTATCGGAAGAAGCAATACTTTAAAGGTCCTGAAGGACGTAACTGGCCTCAAACCCGCTGACATTAGTCAGGAAGGTGAAGATATCGTGCTCTACTTTTCATGTGAAGAGGAGCAAGAAAAACTCCTCACTAACGATGCCATTCTTCGCAAAGAGCACTACCTACATCCTCACTTCCCACGTCAGTTCCTGGCCGGAAGAACTGTTTTTACCAGCAGGACCAGCCGGTGGATCGCTGAGCGACCTCAACATCATATCATAAACAATATCGAGGACGAAAATCCAGACCTGTCGGTATTCAACCTAGAGTTCTGCAACACCGACAAAACATCAATGAAGATTACGTTCACCACCATAGCTGCGGCCACCCAGGCTCCCACACAAGGATTCTACTGCTTCGGCCTAAAAATACCACCCCACCAAATAAAAAAGGAACGATACCATGAGATCCCGCAGTGCTTTAAGTGCTACGAGCTCTCCCACCCGACCAACAAGTGTCAGCACCCTGTCCAGAGGTGCAGCCTGTGCGCACTGGACCATCACTACTCCATATGCAAGGCAACAGTCCATCGCTGCTTGCTCTGTGATGGCAATCACCCCGCAATTTCCTACCGCTGCCCCCGCAGACAGGAAAGCATCAAGGCCCAGGTTGAAGCCAAAGAAACAACTTGTCTACCTCCTCGACCAGAGCCCCAAGCGTTCAACTCACCACTTTAGCTCTCACTAGTCGACCAGAAGACTTTCCGGTCCTACCAACATGTGGCTCCTCCCAGCAGGCGACACAGCCTTCTCATTGGGGACCCAAGGTCCCCAAGGTCCCACAGGCTCCTTCACAGCCCCCTGCATCACGTGCAGGCATTATCCCTGGTCTTCTTAAACTAGCGGAAAGGCTTGCAGGACCAGACAACCAGCGCTTTGTCAGTGAACTAAACGCATTATACATAGACAATGGCCTGGCCCCCATCATAGCCACTAGCGTAATTCTCACTGCCTCCTCTACCACTCCGGAGACTACCACCAGGACGACCATGCGGTCAACTTCAACACCGACTCCAGAACCGCCCATGACCCGGGCGACACAAACAGAGGTAATTCCTTCTCCAGCTTCCAACACTCCTACCATCACTATCTCAGCAGCCGCGCTAGCAGACGTGCTGTATACAAACGATAACAGCACCATCAGCGCTCCTGAAATAGCTACAACCACCAATCAACGACACCTAAACCTACCTAAAGCTGCGAGGCGAAAGTCCAAAACGCCCACTACAGAGGTTACGGACTCCTCAGACGAGGAAATCATAGTAGGAGCTCCACCGCCGCATCACAAATACGACACCTACACGGTTCAAGACTTCCTCATGGAGGCCACGTCACCAAACTCTAACGACAGCACTGCTCAGCCAAAATTGCAGGCAAAGAAAAAACGGAAAACCTAGAGGTCTACACTAACCCCACCAGCTCCATAACTGATATAGCCAGCCCTCCAGGCTGAAAACCATCATGGAGACCCCCATCGCCACATCTCTAGTATCAGCCACTGATACAGATAATGGCTCCAAAGAGCCCCCACTTACGGGCTCACCATAGCCCGTGCTACTGGAACTTATCGTTCTGAGTAGCGAATCTTAAACAACAACAACATTGTGGTAAAGGAACTGATGAGTCTGGCTGGGGCTCTGAGGACAGAGTTGGATTCTTTACGGGAGGAGGTAAGACAGCTGAAACAGCAACAAGAGGGAACGAAGGAGGAAACAAGTAGTAAAAAGACGTCGTCTTGGAAAGTTGTAAAGGACAGGGGCCTTAAGAAGACTTTGATAAAGCTGCCTACAGAACGTCTAATTCATTTGCCGTATTGGAGGACGAGTGCTGTGGTGAGACTGTGGATCACGCAAAAGG